TAATTCCGGTCCATAATTAACTATGCAATAAGCTTTAAAGTAGACCTGAAGCTCTAATGTGATCGTTAATTAGCGGATAACTATGCTAGTAGCCGGGAAAGAACGTGACCAAAGGTGGCGGATCGGTCGCAAAGTTGAGAGGAAGCAAGAAAATGGAAACCTGAGGAGGCGAGGCCGTGAGGACTGGAGGAGAGGCACAAGCACTGTAACGGGGTTACTCTCAGCAACCAATGCCCCCCGTCAATTTAAGATGATTAAATTACAACATTCATTGTTAATTGCAAGTTGGGCTTTTTTTTTCCGAATTGGGTTTCAGATATACCGACTAGGAATTTGTTAAGGTTTCTGTACAAAAGAGAATGCTGGGCTTTAAACGACGACGTTTCATAACTCTTTCTTCAATCTTGGGCCGGATAAGATAAAAGTGTGCAAGTTGTGAGTGAGCCCTAAAATGTGCCTCAGACCCGATTCTTTTCTCTAGTCATTAATAAAATTCACGAGTTAAATTAAAAATAATTATTTTTTTTAATAAAATTCATCAAAAAAAATTTGATTAGAAATTAATTTTTTTTAAAATTGTTAATTTTTTTTTTAAAATTGATAATCAAAATAATATAAATAAAAATAAAAATGATTAAAATCTCATTTTTCAAAACTAATATTAAAAAAATAATACCAAAAACAAGAGTGCCACCCATATAGTTTATCTATTTAAGTTCTAATAAAATTTTACTTTTAAAGGGAAGCTATGCTCTCAACCCCTACCGAAACGCAAACCAAACCAATCAAAATGGCTCCCATAAAATGGAGGTGCAAATGCAACACCTTTCCAATAAAATTAAACTTAATTTCCTTTCTTCATGACCTCACAAATAAAAAAAATCTATACCTTTAATTATATATGAATAAATATTGAAGTTTTATCTATTTTTCTTTTTCATGATATCCTATGTGTTCAATTAATGCACATCGACAATCACAAGGGACAAAGTTCGGGACTATTGCATTATATGATTTATGTGTGCTTAGTGTAACGGGGCTAGGCTTCTGTTAGCTGATTCACGCGATGCTTAGACGATTTCTAAGTTGAAAGGTAACCTAAATCAGCCTTTACCACGTCCTTGTGAGACTCTGGCTCACCAGGCGGCACACTAACCTGCTAGGGTTAAACCAACGATACAAAAGTTAAACACCAGTGGGTATCAGAGCTTGTTTCAAGACAAGCGATTGAAAAGCTAAGCCACTAGTTGTTCAACCTTGGTGGCTTGGATTAACCTAGCGGGTTAGTGTGTCGCTTGGTGAGCTAGAGTCTCACAATGATGTGGTGAAGGCTGACTTAGACACCCTTTCAACTTAGAAATCGTCTAAGTGCCAGACGAATCAACTAGAAAAAGTCTAGCCCCGTGACAAGTAGTATTAGAAATTGTTTCAAGACAAGTGAACAGAAAATATATGAGCATGTCAGAGTGCTGGATTGAATCATTATGGATTCAATGATTGTTCTGGCTTGTTTGTGGAAAACATGATCGATATGGCACAACAAAGAGATGTTCCCACAAAGAATGGCGTGAAAAACCATGGTGTTGTTGGTGGGGTTGTGCTAGAAAGACAAAGTATGGGAGAAGCCGCATGATCAGTAGAGATACTGATCGAGAGCTTTGAAAGCTTCGTCGAAAAAAATAAATAAGGTCCAAGAGTTTTGGGATCACGACTTAAATAGTTAGAAGCCACGAGGGACGAGTTTAAGGCCTTGGCACAAAAGAATCTCAACAATTGGTCGTTATTGGTGATGAGTAATGCGCTCAGGGATGATGTAGAAGCTGTAAGTGAAGAAATAGATGAGCTCAAGAGTGAGTACTCATGTGCAGGGATGCAATGAATGAGTGTGGGCCGTGCAAGACCTTCTTTGAATAACTTAGACTAGGGGCGATGCTGGAAGTTGAGCAGGGTGGTACGCAGAGTTGTTCGGAAGTCAGAGATGTAGTTGACTCACAGTTAGAACCTGCATAAGTCAAGTCAATTGGTAGTGAGTTGTTCAGACCCATGCCTAGTGGTAGGGACGAAAGTGGGGGAGATCACAATAAGGGACAATGGGTAGATGGCAAAGAAAGCTCTTTGAGTTGCTTGAGAAAGTCATCGACTGATCGTGGTTGGAACAAGTCATTGGGAAATCGTGACAAAACCAAGTTCGCGAATAAGAATGGTAACCCTTTGGAATGCTACTTTTATGATGGTCCTCATTTGATTAGAGGATGTCTCGAAAAGATTCACCTTGTTACACTCGTCAAGGGTGAAGACAAGCCAAAAGGGGAAGTAGTCAAAGATGGTGAGATTGCCGTAGTCAAAACAATCAAATCAAGAGCAGAGCTCGCCGCGAATGCAAGTGGCAAAGCAGGAAAGTCGAGAGTAAACAAGCGCGAGCCACTGAAGTGTTTCCTATGTGAGTGACCAGACAAAACCAATAGTTGTCCGGGAGAAAGCTCGGCACGAATACAGATAGCGGAGTAGGAAAGCATAAGGTAAATAAAGAATAGTCGTTGAAGTGTTTTCGTTGTTAGAGATCCCATAAAATGGAAGTGTAAATGCAACACTCTTCCAATAAAATTAAACCTAATTTCCTTCCTTCCTCACCTCACAAATAAAAAATCTATACCTATAGTTATATATAATAAATATTGAAGTTTTATCTATTCTTTCTTTTCCTTGATATCCTATGTGTTTAATTAATGCACGTCGACAATCACAATGGACAAAGTTCGGGACTATTGCATTATATGATTTATGTGTGCTTAGCCATGTGCATTGCCGCACTCTATGCATTTTGATATCTACAAACCAAATTGTTCCTGAATTCCAATCGAAAGCAAATCACGACAACGTTTCACATTCTTCATTTCACCGGTGCTCCCCAAATCTCCCATGAATAATCTAATTAGTGAGTAGTAATTATACCTTCGTGATATTATTATGTAGCATTTAAGTGAATTTAATTGAATTTGAAAAATTAAAAAAATTATTCATTGTAGTATAATTGAATATCGCGTGTACATATTAAAACAACGGAATAATGATCCCAAAAGCACTTAAAAGTTTATGGATTATTGTTAAGTAGCTCCATATTTAAATATATATATATATATATATATATATTCCCCCCGTATTATAAAATATGATTAAAATGATGCTTCAAATTCATCACCAATCCAAATGTACTTTGCACAACAAATCGGATGGAGAAGAAAGGTAAGATCGAAATTAAACATCTGGACACTTGCATCTTTGCAGCCTTTTACACTTCTTTATTTCTTCTCTATAGTCTAGACATACACTTTTTTCATGAATACGTTATTTAATTGTATTCCTTCTTTGAAAATTGTCAACAAAGTGTTTGGCCAAAAGAAATGGTAAAACAAAGTGGATTTCGAAAGTGCAAAGAAGTCTAGGGTACAAAAGTAAAGAAAAAGAAACAATTTCCTTTCATAAACCACATTCTTATTAGTCCAAGTCCAACACGTCTATTTTTTTTATTAAATTAGAGGGATTATAAAATAGTATTTCTCCTAAATACTCACAACAATTTAACATTAAATATTCAATTATCCTATTGTAGTAATTGGTGTTTGAAAATAATAACAAAGTCGCTGCATAACACACGTGCACTTAAATTCTAGGTCACGCGCAATACCTCCAACAACTCCAGAAAAAGAGTAGGACCCAAAGACATGAGTACAGTTAAATTAAGATTTTAGGGTTTGGGTGTTTCTTTTTTCCTTTTCAAATATATATATGGTACGAAAAAGAAATCATGCGGTCGACATAGATATTGTAGGAGTTATGTATTGACGCATTTATGTCTTTAGGAAGAACTTAAATAGGTGTTCCTTAACTTACATTGCTGTCTCACATAGTTTTCTGTCTTAGGTAATTAATAACTGCAAGAAAAATATGCAGAAAGAACCAGATTCAAGAGCAAAGAGCCTGCTGGAATGCCTGGTCAAACTTTATGTGAAAACTTTATTTGTAATGGGATTTTGGACAAAGAGACAACAAGAAAAAGACATAAAAGAGAAAATGGGTAGTGTTTTTTTTAAGAAGATGTAGGGTTTCAATGTTTAGCTACCAGTGAAGGGTTATGTCTTAAGGTCTGTAGCACACACTCTCTCTATATTTTCTACGGTTTTCTGGTGTGGAAGAAGTGGAAAGAGAGATTGGAATTAGTAAATAAAGGAAGAGGGATCCAAAGATGGAATTTGAAGACTTTGATCAGATACTTAAAGTAGGAAAAGGCAAAGGTTTCTGGTCCTCAGAAGAAGTATAGAAGTCTTGATTGAAACATTTCAAAGCAGCATTTATAATTTTTTTCTCTCTAATTATTTCTCTTTCATCGAATTACTCACTCTTTTGGAAAATTTCCTCTCTTTGGCTCCTATCTGATTCTCAAATTTAAAACCCAGTAACTCGGGATTTTTTTCTTTTTTATTGATTGACTGACGGTTGAGGAACAAGAAGAAATAATGGAGCTGATTATGATTATAACCTTCATGGAACAATATGATAACCTTCTTTTTTGACAATAATAGAGATTATATTAACAATAGTACTAATCATAATTATTATGATGTCAAACTAATGTCAGCGGCATTTTTTAACCCCCACCCCATTTTTATAGTAAATGAGGGGTTTTGAATTTCGGGTGAGGGTACCAAAAGCATGGTTGTACGTATCATTCATTAATGGATTAACCAGAGAAAGCCCTTGAGAAGTTATGAGGCAGAGATTTCCTCAGGCTCTCTCAGCTTTCTTTTTTATTCTCACTGAAACTGAAAGTAATGAGGACACTATCTCTCATGTATTAATGCAAGCATATATGTAACTGAAACATACAGACATCAGAGTCATGAATAAAGGGAGAAGAGAAAGAGTATGGGCAATAAATTGCACCAATGGAAATCTGAAGAAACATCAAAGAAAAAATATGGGTGATGAGATTTTGAACTTGCCTTTAATTTCATCTTCACTCTAACCAAAACCCACCTGCATTGATGTGGCTAGTTAGGGGGGAACAAAATATTACCGGCACTAAAATTATATACAACCTCATTAATCTTAAGAGATAAACTGAGACAATTAATAGAGAAAAAAACTACAGAGAAAGTTGGAAAAGGGAAGCTAGAATATTCTTGAATGGACATATGAAACTAACATGTGGGAGGCATAAGGTTCAACCGTAAATCATCTTTTTCCAAGACCAGACGTGCTTTGCTAGTCTCCATGTTAGTTGTTGCACCATACTCCGGGTGCAACCTCTTCTTGGATTGTAAGGGTACGCCAAAGAGCTTGGTTTTGCGACTATTGCTGCATGGTTCTTCAAGAATGGTCAAGGAGCTCTGCGATGTAGCAGTTGGAGAGTTCAAAACCTGGACTCGGGGCTTGGGACTATTTGGATAATGCCCATGATGATGGTTCGAAGGCTTTTGCAATAATGAACTATTGGTGGTATTAACTATAGGAGCAGCAGCGGATGGAGGGCCATAAAGAAGCATGGAAGGGGAGTATGAATTGCTAGGAGTGACGGGCTTAACATGGTTTTGAACAAAATAGATGATATCGTTGTACAGTTTTTTCATATGGGCAAGTTCAGACATCAGCAAACTGTTTCTTTTTCTTAGCCTCTCATTGTCCTCTGATAAAGCTGTGACCGAGCTGTTATAGCCGCTACCAAGAACCGAGACTCCGGTGCCTCCTCTAGCTGAAGAAACTGGAGGCGAGTCACACCAGTTGCCTTGTTCATCTGAGTCCGGTGGAGAAATGCTGACTCGGCTTGGAAATGGGAAGATACCCGGGCCATCAACCAAAGGAGAGTGCGGGTTGTGGTGATGATGGTTTATCCCGGCCACTTGTGGTTGCGCGGTCTTTCTTCTATGGATCTCACAAAGCAAGTGTTTTTCTCCTTTCTTAAAGAACTCATTGGCAAACTCCCACCTGTCCGGTACAATCTTCCTAAAGCCCTAGTTTCATTAACAGAAAACAAAAAAGCAAAATCCAGATCAGTAATACAATTAAAAAGGCAAAGAATTTAGAGAAAAAAAGGGATAAAGAATGAGGTTTTATACGTAAGTATTGAGCTGTCTGACAAAGCTGGAGAAATTGTTGTGCTTGAAGTAATTCGGGAGGAGATCACGAGCAAACTCAGGAGGTCTCCAAACAACAAAAGTAGTATCATCTTCACCCCATGAAACTATGTGGTCGGAGGAGGGATCATCGACTAGTTGGTAGGTTTTGGTGAGGAAGGGCGCTGGCACTGATTTGTGGGAGTCCAGTGATAGTAATACCCCTTCACAGTTATCAAGCATCAAAGCCATTGAAAGATATGAGAGAGAGAGAGATGTTTTTGAGGGGAATAGTAGGGGGTTTGGAGCAGACTATCAGGTCAGGACAGAAAGTGGAGGGGTAGATCCTTACGAAGAGGGGATAAAAATGTTGGGGAAAAGGAGAAAGGGGGAGGGTGGGTGATTGTATAGAAGCGGTTGTTTATTTTTGGCTGTATTGATAGTGTATTAGTATAATTTTGTTTCTCTCCTCGGTTATGTAATTATCGAGAATATGCGTCTATCTGTCTGTCTAGGACAGTTAAAAAAGGGCCTTCCAGGACAAACCCGTGACTCTCTCCCTCTCCCTCTCCCTCTCTCTCTCTCTCTCTACCCTGATAATTGATCCCTTGCACATCAACTTAAAATAAGGCACAGGGGGTATGGCATGGAAGGTTGCAGTGTGTGTCGTTGGGGATATATAATGAAACCCTTTCCCCTCCCCTTTGTCACCACTTTGCTACTATATTTTAACGTAGCAAATCAAGATCATGAACTAGTCAACAGGTCCTTAATGCAAAAACTATAACGAAATGGCCCAGCATTGTTTTCACGTATGCAAATGCAAAAGCTTCCATTGAATAACTGAAAAACTTCACAGCTTTCCCTTTCTTCTTTGTAATCTTTCAATAAATTATTGGGTTTTTATGCCTTTTCCTTCTCTCTCGTTCAATGACGGGGCCATGGAAAATATTTTCTTACGTCTGGAAACAGCAAGCTGAGAAACATTCAGTATCTTGGAATATTTATTGATTCTCTAATAAAATATACTAGTCACGTAATTAAATTAATAGAATGTAAAATCAATAAATAAAATATATAAAAATTTTAATTAAAATTATTATTGGTTAACATTTTTATAACCAATAACCATCCGACGCAATCCTACCAAAAATTATAAGTGGGTGACAAAACAAAAATGCAAAAATAAAAAAAGTATCAAATGATTAGTTTACTTAATACATATTTTAAAAACAAAAGGATCGTCTAGTGTGAAAATTAAAAACAAAGATTGCATGGAAACCATATTGGCAATGAGTGGAGAGTGATGGATCCTATAAAAGTGAGGAATGGATTCATTGTGTTATGAGTGAAGTCGATGGCCAAGGTGAGGTCCAAAGTGAAAGATAAAATAAAAATGATTACTAATTATTACGAATAGATACTGCAGTGATATCGCCAATGATTCCCAATATTGGAAAACCAAAGTAAAAATCTTCCATACTTCCACCACCCTCCTTACATTTCCTTTGGGGAAGAAGAGGATATTTTCCTTTCTGAACAAAGGAAATTTTCCCAAAAGTTGAAGTAATTTTATATGAATAAATATTTTTTTTATTTACGTAAATAACACCACAAAATTTTTTTAAAAAAATATTTCTATCTTAATAAAGATGAATTACTTCAATCATACTTTTTATTTTTATTCATGATACATGAAATTTGAGAATAAATACCCGTATTTTTATTATTCAATATCAAAATGTAAGAAAAAAAATTTATAGAAAAGAAAATATTTTTAAAATAATTATACAATTTTTATTTAAAAAATAAAAAGCACACAATACACATTTGAGACTGAGATATATATATTTATACGAACACAAATTAGACTAACAACGTATGTATAAACCTTATTTTCAGTCGGTCAGGAATGTATATATATATATATAGGATTTTCAGCCTTAATTCTTTGTTCTTCTGTTAGTTTCTTCTCTTTTTTGTGTTTGTGACCAATGAAGGCACCAATCTTAGTGTTAGTTTTTCACTGCTGATATTCCTTGTTTGTCTTTTATTTTAATATATCGGATCTTTATTTTTTTTAATTTTTAATAATTTTACTTTTATGACATGTTTTCTTTACTTATATGAAACGTTTCTCTATATATTTTGATATATTTTTTGTCATTTAACTATTATTTTTGTTTATATTCTTTTTTCATTAGGGTTTGATTTCGTCATGATTGACCAAAATAAAACTTATTTGTTATCATGATGATCTTTTTTATTTTGGACCTTCAAATTGGATTTGGATACACAATTTGTTTTTGTAGATAATTATCTCACAACGTTCGATTCTGATTTGCGATTTGTCGATTGTTTTTTCATAGGTTAATATCCCTTTGTGGTTTATTTTTCAATGCAATAAGATCTGTTTGTATTTATCTTTTATTTGAGTTTATTTTGTTAGATTTTTTTAACATTTTCCTTTTATAATCTTTGCATAATCTCAAATAGCTAATCTATTGGATTAACAATTATAGAAAATTATCCTTATTATATGTTTAATTTACTACTATGATTGTAAAATTTTATTGTAATTTAGATATTTTCTAATTTTAATAAAACTAACAACTTATTTGTTATAAAAATACATATAAAAATAATGTGAGATTTGAGAATCTTATGACCAAACTTATTGATTTTTAAATGTCTGAGATAAGTATTAAACTTGATTAGACTCATGTAAGTACAACAGTAAAAGAAAATTGTTATCTTTTGAAAAATATTTGAGATCTCAATATTCATAATTATATTTGATTTTCTTAATTATGGCTATCTACAACTCAAAATCAATATCAAAATGTAAGAAAAAAGAAAAATATAATTTATATAAAAAGAAAATATTTTTAAACTAATTATACAAATTTTATTTAAAAAATGGAAAACACACAGACTGAGATATATATTTATACGAACATGAGTTAGACTAACAACGTATGTATAAACCTTATTTTCAATCAGTCATGAATGTATATATATTTAGGATTTTCAGCCTTAATTCTTTGTGCTTCGTTAGTTTCTTCTCTTTTTTGTGTTTGTGACCAAGGAAGGCACCAATCTTAGTGTTAGTTTTTCACTTTTGATATTCATTATTTTTTTATTTTAATATATCGAATCTTTATTTTTTTTAATTTTTAATAATTTTATTTTTATGATAAATTTTTTCTGTTTATATAACACGTTTCTCTATATATTTTGACATATTTTTGGTCATTTGACTATTGTTTTTGTTTATTTTTTATTAGGGTTTGATTTGACATCATCATGATTGATCGGAATGAAACTTATTTATTATCATGATGATATTTCTTATTTTAGACACTCATATTGGATTAGGTACGCGATTTGTTTTTGTGGATACTTATCTCACGTCGTTCGATTCTAATTTATGATTTATCGATGATCTTTCAATAAGTTAATATCCTTCGATTATAGAAAATTATCCTTATTACGTGTTTAATTTACTATTATGATTGTAAATTTTTATTGTAATTTAGATATTTTCTAATTTTAATAAAACTAACAGCTTGTTATTTTTTTGAATTAATTACTGGTATCCGATCTATTGACTAACTAATCCAGCTCGGGTACTGCAGAGGCGAGGGAAACCCTCCCAAGCCAGTTTGCTCAATTCGCAAACACCAGGATTCGAACCCCTAACATTGCTTAAGAGACCTAGTGTCTCATTCCACTAAACCAATTGGTTGTTGGTAACAACTTATTTCTTATAAAAATGCATATATAAATAATGTGAGATTTTGAGAATCTTGTGACACGAAATTTATTGATTTTTAAATGTTTGAGATAAGTCCCAAACTTAATTAGACTCATGTAAATACAACAGTAAAAGAAAATTGTCATCTTTTGAAAAAAATATTTGAGATCTCAATATTTATAATTATCTTTGATTTTCTTAATCAAGTTCATGGCTATTTTGACAACTCAAAATCAATAATTATATTTACGATACTCTCAAAACTTTTATATATATATATATATATATATGACTTTTAAGTATTTAAATAGTCTTTTAAAGAGACTCATTAAGTACTTGAAAATAAATTTTATACACCTGTATCACTGTCATCACGTAACTTTTACTCATTTATACGAACAAAACATCTTCGGTAGTTAAAAAATTCGTTGTTGTCTCTTGAGATCCTGAATTTAAGCACAACATATACTATTCACCTTAGATCTTAAAAAACTCCATGCTGGCATAATATGTATATAAGTTTTAAAATTTATTATTAAATGAACATTCATGCCATAAAATTAATTTTTATAATTAATTGTTTAAAAAAGTATTTATTTTATTAATCCTGAAATATAAGACACCCCCATTCCATTATGGATGGTCAAATAGTTTCTTCTCTTTTTGTGTTTGTGACTAACGAATGCATCAATCTTAGTGTTAGTTTTTTACTGATGATATTCATTGTTTGTCTTTTATTTTTAATATATCGTTTTTTTTTTTAATAATTTTACTTTTATGACACGTTTTCTTTATTTATATAACACATTTCTCTATATCTTTTGGCATGTTTTTGGTCATTTTATTATTATTTTTACTTATCATTTTTTTCATTAGGGTTTGATTTCGTCATGATTGACCAAAATGAAACTTATTTGTTATTATGATGATTTTTTTATTTTGGACCCTCAAATTAGATTTGGATACACGATTTTCTTTTGTGGGTAGTTATCTCACGACGTTTAATTCTGATTTGCGATTTTTCGATGATCTTTCACTAGATTAATATCCCTTTGTGGTTCATTTTTCAATGCAATAAGATTTGTTCATATCTATCTTTTATTTGAGTTTATTTTGTTAGATTTTTTTAACATTTTCCTTTTATGATCCTTGCATGATCTCAAATGGCTAGTCTCTTGGGTTAAATATTATAGAAAATTGTCCTTATTATGTGTTTAATTTACTATTATAATTGTAAACTTTTATTTTAATTTAGATATTTTTCTAATTTTAATAAAAATAAAAACTTATTTCTTATGAAAATGTATATATAAATAATGTGAGATTTTGAGAATTGTTATCTTTAATTATCTTTTGAAAAATATTTGAGATCTCAATATTCATAATTATCTTTGATTTTCTTAATCAAGTTCATGGCTATTTTTGACAACTCAAAATCGATAATTATATTAATGATATTCTCAAATCTTTTATATATATATATATAAAAGATTTGAGAATATCATAAATATAACTAATCTTTTAAACACACTCATTAAGTAATCTAAAATAAAATTTATACACATGTATCACCTTCATCACTTAACTTTTACTCATATTCGTACGAACAGTTGTTGTCTCTTGAGATTCTGAATTTAAGCACAACATATACTATTCACCTTAGATTGTTAAAAAAACTCCATGCTGG